GCAGGATAGTGGAAGTCAAAATAATACTAACAATAATAATAAAAGCTATAATCAAAAACAATCACAATGACAGTAACACCATCATCATGATAAATACCATCTGTTAAGCTATAATAAAAAGTTAAAAGAACAGTAATCAATACCAACTGATATCTGCTGCATGCTCCTAAGCTTACCTTCCATATTTGTAAATTAAAATATGTTTTGTTTAATGATATGCACTACTTTGCGCTCCTTACCATTAGGAGCTTGAATTGTACAAAGGAGACAAACAAGAGGAAAAAGACAGAAGAAAGAATACTGAATACTCCATGCTACAATGAGCACATCTTTCCACGCTATAGAATACTGTATCTATTCTCGGTGTCTCCCACTCCCACCTTTGTTACGTATGACAGAAGCAGCAATGGAAGGCTAGACAAACTCACCAACTAATGTCTCGGTCGCCATTTCAACCACGTCATCGTCAGATTTGCACTCGGCAGCCCAGTCCTCAGGCACGACCTGACTGGTGATGCTGAGCCAGTCGTCAAGGGTGCATGGATCAGGACAGCCAGGCAGGTGGAGCTCATATGGCGGGTCGATAATTTTGGTGTCGTTACGGAGGAACATCTAGATAAAAGATAGGGAGAGGGGGAGAATATGCATTAATTACAGTTAACTTTATGTCAAGACTAAAATGTCTTTACATAAATTCAAGTCAACAGTGAGAAGTAAGCAATTTGTTTTATGCTTTAATTCCTACTGTTCAATGAATTAATCGCTGGTATTAACCCGCTGATGTTGGGATTATTAGCGATACCTATCCCCCCTTTCTTATTATTCATTGCTATTAGCATTGGCATAAATATCTTAACCTAATGTCAGCGGACGGCAAGATCACAATGCCATGCTCACTGTAATAAAAGTTTATCTTTTGTCTTTACACATAGATGGCTCTACAAGTGCTTAGTCACCAAGGAGTCGGCTATTCATCTTACCTATCTCATCTGTTTATCCTTTTCCTTCATTTTTTGAAAGCTTCATTTCTATTATTTTATCTGCCTCTGATTTTATTAATACTTAATAACAATTGAATAATCATAATATCAAAAAGAATGATAACAATGTCAATATTAATAGTATTGGAAAGAAAAATGCATTTTCCTGCTAATTCAAGGAATGGGGAAATCAGGATCAGACTCCTTGATGACTGACCATGACCTTCCATATTTGTAAATTAAAATATGTTTTGTTTAATGATATGCACTACTTTGCGCTCCTTACCATTAGGAGCTTGAATTGTACAAAGGAGACAAACAAGAGGAAAAAGACAGAAGAAAGAATACTGAATACTCCATGCTACAATGAGCACATCTTTCCACGCTATAGAATACTGTATCTATTCTCGGTGTCTCCCACTCCCACCTTTGTTACGTATGACAGAAGCAGCAATGGAAGGCTAGACAAACTCACCAACTAATGTCTCGGTCGCCATTTCAACCACGTCATCGTCAGATTTGCACTCGGCAGCCCAGTCCTCGGGCACGACCTGACTGGTGATGCTGAGCCAGTCGTCAAGGGTGCACGGATCAGGACAGCCAGGCAGGTGGAGCTCATATGGCGGGTCGATAATTTTGGTGTCATTACGGAGGAACATCTAGATAAAAGATAGGGAGAGGGGGAGAATATGCATTAATTACAGTTAACTTTATGTCAAGACTAAAATGTCTTTACATAAATTCAAGTCAACAGTGAGAAGTAAGCAATTTGTTTTATGCTTTAATTCCTACTGTTCAATGAATTAATCGCTGGTATTAACCCGCTGATGTTGGGATTATTAGCGATACCTATCCCCCCTTTCTTATTATTCATTGCTATTAGCATTGGCATAAATATCTTAACCTAATGTCAGCGGACGGCAAGATCACAATGCCATGCTCACTGTAATAAAAGTTTATCTTTTGTCTTTACACATAGATGGCTCTACAAGTGCTTAGTCACCAAGGAGTCAGCTATTCATCTTACCTATCTCATCTGTTTATCCTTTTCCTTCATTTTTTGAAAGCTTCATTTCTATTATTTTATTGCCTCTGATTTTATTAATACTTTAATAACAATTGAATAATCATAATATCAAAAAGAATGATAACAATGTCAATATTAATAGTATTGGAAAGAAAAATGCATTTTCCTGCTAATTCAAGGAATGGGGAAATCAGGATCAGACTCCTTGATGACTGAACACATGTGGAGCCATCTGTATATAACAAAACTTACTAAAATCTTAAAGGGACTGTACATAAACTCACTGATATTGGGTTAATATACATAATGTCAACAATAATAATAATAATATTAATCAACATTAATGGCAATATTGAAAAAGAAAAAGAAGAAGCAGAAGCAGAAGGAAAAAACTGAAAATTCTGGGAAAGGGGAAATCAGGTGAGGACACATAGGTTCACTAATCGGCTCCTAGAAGAAGAAGACAGACAAAGAGAGAAAGAGAGACAGAAAC